ACTTTTGTTACGGTCATATAGCTGTTTTTGTTTGCATTACTTAGTGTTTTCAACTTGGTACCTGTATCTTCTACATTTTACTCTCCAGTTTAGACTATCCCGATATTTGTAATGTACATTTTCTCTATCTGCTCTCTTTTTTCTCTTTCCTAATCTGCGCAACATACAGGGTACTTGTATGTGCGCAAGCACAGGTGAACTCTGTATTCCCTCGCTATCATAGTCCGTAGTTGTAGTAAATGGGACGAGAAATCAGACGTAGGACCCACAGCTTTATGTGCTTTCCGAGACACGGAGGTAAACACCACCGTATTTCTAACTTAGAACTGTTACTGAGAATTTGAAAACAGAAAAACCCAATAAGTGATTTAGGCCCCACCCGGGATTTGTAACACAGGACTGATCATGAGTATCAGCAGTCGCGCTTACGACCTTAGACCAACGAGGCTCCGTGGCTCTGATTGTAGATTCTACACTAGGCCGGCTAGTTAAATAATTAAAAAGGAAAGCAACAGCCTTCATATTGGCCACTTCTAGACACAAGGAATAACTAAATTTAATTTTCAAAAAATACGTAAATGTAAAAACTATATAGATAGAAGAGTAAATGGGATACAATAATGTGATGTAAGTCCGATAATACCTGAGTCAGATAATGCTGAAAAGGTCATAACGCTAACAGTGTTCATATCTCATACATAGACAACCACGCCACAGCACGACGATACATGCGAAAATGTTTTCATCGTCACCGATTATTTTCGGTAACGTTAAAAGTTTAAAATAATCAACGGCACAATTTCTACCGGTTCTTTAAAAAAACAACAAAGCGCGACATCATTAGACACGTTGTATGATGCACAATTTGTAAGCAGAGAGGGACCTTCACCGCGCGATGGACCATTGTTAGAGACAGCCTTGGCCTAATTTGAAAAAAAAGCAGCCTTAGTTTCGATAGAACGTTTATTTGGGACGAGGCTGTCCAACTGTTCTGGTTACGTTTGAAAAAATTGTATTATATTTCTGTGTTAACTTTGTAGTTTCTTTCTTTTGTATAATTTAGTCTTTTTATTGTTTATGGTTTCAACCGGTCAATATAATGAAGATCCATATACACATATCTACAATACATATTTAGATCTCTTATTTATCTAATTAAATCAGGTCCCTGTTTTAAAAAAAATAGGATAAATAAAAAGTGTCGGGATTGGCGCAACACGGTTGAATAAAGACAATTTTATTACCATCGCCTTTATTAAGATAATAAACACAGGAAAAGATACCATGCTCGAAATAAGAGAAAAATCAAGTAACGTTTTTGAAACTCAAAGAGTAATAAAAGAATCCTTTTTGCGTCCGACGAAGCGTCGTTTTGTTAGGTGCTATTTTTTTCCAATCACGTCAGTAATAAAGGGAAAATTTTCTTTAACTTTTATGAATATTTTTATCTAATTATAACTATTTTAACTATTATAACCAGTTATATCACTATTATAACCAGATATATCACCGGCTATAGCCGAAGATGCTAAAGTACACTGACAGCTAGACAAATCTTTTCACTGTTGCCTTGAAAACACCTTGCTATCGGCAATTATATTCCACGCCTTTCTTGTGCGCATTAGGAAGGTTTTTTTCTAAGTATAAAAAATTTAGGCAACTGTTGTTTAATCGCCCTCACTCCAGTTAGTGAAAGATCGTTTACTGCGCTTGCCGTGAGTCTGCGATTCGAGAAGCACGTTTTAATCTTTGAACTTCATAACCGGTGGCAATATGCAACTTCAGATTCCTAATCCTAATAAATAAATAATATGCAACTTTATTTCAATCAATCATGTCAATCATTTTATTTCGAAGAGAGATAAATCTGAAACGTATTTCTATTGTATGTCGATTGATTTTATTGAAATTGAACTCCGCGTTAAGTACATTAAAAAGTATTTTTATTAAGAAACATATGAATTTAATTTAAAAAAATTCAAAATTAAATATATGAATAAGTTTTTATTTCCGTTTTAATTTTTTTCTCCAACCAGAACCGTTAATGAATTTGCACAAGTAAACAACACCCATTATGTTATTCTAAAAGAGAATGAAGAAAAAAAAGGTAACAAAACATCTCCAGAGATGATATTCTTGAAATGAATTCCACAGAAGAAAGCTTGGACAAAATAAGCTTTCATACATTTTCGTAAATTGTGTAACCTATATTTTATATTTTATAAGGTCTACTTTTGAAATTTTTTCCGCTTCTTCTCACATGCTCTCCTGGAATACGGACTTTTGAAGCAATGGTATAGCTTTTTTACTTATGGTTAAGATTTTTATCCAAATTACCAACAGAATAACAGTGCTGCGGCAATTTTGCTAAAAGCTTATACTGAATCAGTGATCGTTTCGTTACCTGCTCGATATTCATAAGATTTTTTTATTTACTAATATCTTTGTGTTGATTTTATTGTGCTGTATTGTGTTGTGCCCACGGATGAATTATAATTTCTTTCTCTCTTGGTTTCAAAAAGTGCATTCTAAAGACCAATTTTGAATACAAATATATTATGCCTATCTTTTTCTTTTTTACATAGAATAAGGTTGACAAACGAGCACATAGTCCACTTAATGGTAAGTTGGGTGCTGTGGCCCATAAACATCTATATATCTATCCTCGATTAAGAATTAAAATTCAGATGAATTATCAGCCATGAGTACTAAGATGGAATGCCGCATTTCCAGTAAAAAGGGACACCAGTTCTCTTCACTCACCACACGAAACACAGTCGCATCAAGCTGCTATTTGACGCTAGTATTTTATGTGAGCGTCGTCCTTCCCCGATCCGACCCATTCGTGCTACAGTCATAATATAGCTGCAGCGTGGCTTTACCACGTAAACGTTATCTTTTATTATCACTATCGGAATTTACCTTCAAAACGCTGCGATTTACAGTAAATGTACTGAAACGTTTAAAAGGTGATAAAACACGAAGCTTAAATTACGGGTGATGGATTTTTCTTGTGCCGTTTATCGCGGATCTGACACTTAAGATATCGTATAACGTTTATGCCTGTTAAGAAACCAAAAACATCAGTTACAGTGGTAAAAGCAATTAACTCTTTCCTATTTGATAGAAAATTAAGTTTGAATTTAATAGGGTTGTAGATAGAATTTATCACACAACATTTATAACTAACTTTAACTGTTTGAAATTCCTTTAAAGCTTTTATTTATAATTACTATTAATTACGAAAATCAAATTAAATGCTTGTGTTCTAAAGAGCAGTGTCCCTGAATTGACATAAATAGAATCTACGTCAAATCTATACATACTTTTGATTTCATTATCATATCTGTAGCGCCCAGAACATTTATCAACAAGAGTGACCTCACACCGCGCGCATTTCTGCGCTTCAGGAATCACGAAGCAAGTTTTTGCGATCTTGACAAGACGTTGCGGTTTTCGGCCCTTGAAAGAGCCACAAGCAGCAGCCACTTGCTAGCCACGACACTTGCATTTCGTACGTGAACACTTGCACACTTCAAAAATATTTCTACTTAACTTTTAAGTAGAAATATTTTTTGTCTTCCTCCAGACCGAATATCGATCACGGCGACAAGTCTCAAAGGAGACTAGCCATCTGCGCAGGGCAGGATCATAGTGCCCGAATGTATCCGCAAGCAAAAGTCCACCCTTACTCTCATAGTACGATGGGACGGTAATCCAACACGACCGGAGAAATCAGGCGCAAGACCAACGGCTTAACGTGCTTTCTTAAACAGGAGAGTGAAACACCACCAACTTTCTGACTCTGGGCCGCTACTGAGAACTTCTTGACAAGAAAACCCAACAACTGATTTTGGTCCGACCTAGGATTAGAACCCAATAACCAATGAAGAAATAAAAAAAAAGTTGAAGTATTAAAAACACATTAATAGTGTATTATCCGAGCTCCGCTGTTACTCAATCATCACTTCACTATGATCATTTATCATTTTCTCAATTTATATTTAATCACTTAGGGTAATAACTGGATTAGAATAGTGTATTTTTTTTAGAATTCATTCGACAAACGAGCACACAGTTCACCTGATGGTAAGTCGATTCTGTGACCCGTAGACATCTATATCTATCCTCGATTAAAACTCAAAATGCAGAATGCGTTGTTCCCTGAGTTTTCAGTAAAAAGGGCCTACGGTTCTCTACTCTCACTATACGAAACACTGCAGCAATAAGCTCCTATTCAAGCTGCTGTTCCTATTTCACACTGGATTCTGTTAGTGCTTGATCATTCCCCGGTCGAGCCGTCCCATACACGAAAAAGCGAGCCCTTGTTTTCTCCAGTACGTCTACATAATATTTAAAGCAAAGTTACAATTTTTTTATTACAATCAAGTATGTCTATCAACTAACAATTTTAAAACATAGTTAGCAACATAGTTACCTACATAGTTTGCACCCTTTTTCCAAAAAGGTGAACGATATTATACTCGTGTTAAACTTCACAACTTTATATAAAAGTTATGGTGACAAGCGTGCATACAATCCACTTAATAGTAAGTGAATTCTGTCACTAACACACCTTCATCTGTCCTTGATTAAGAATCACAATGCAGACTAAGGACCAAAGGACTAAGATAGAATGTCCCGTTACCAGTAAAAAGTATCCTGTTATTCGTCACTCGCCATATGAAACAACAGCATTACGCAGATATCTTACATTGATATTCTGTATGGCCCTACTTCGTAAGAAGTTACGAACGATAATTTGGTTTATAGTTCTACAGTTTAATATTTCAAGAAAAACTGAGTTATTATTTATATAAAGCAGTTCAGGGAATAAAAAAATCTGTCAACAATGGTGCATTAACTATTCTAGAAACAGAATTATTTTTCTGTATCGAATAATCTGCGTTACTTAATAAAATTCGAATCGTATACATATTTAAACAAAACTCATTTTAAATTAATAATTAAGAGTTGAAGTTAGCTACAAAATGTGTTACCTTCTCCATCCGGTCATAGGTTTCTTTCTAAGATCCTCCTCACTAAGTCCATACAGACCAATACAAGCTAGGAACCAGGCGGTGACAATCAGATAGCAGATCACGATGACCCGGAACGGTAGGAGTATGACGGTGAATATTGCTGTCTGGAACAAGCAATAAAATATTTAAAAAAAACGTCGATTTAAAAATAAACTAGCATAATAATAATGTCCTGCAGACCGATTTTCGGTTACAGTGGCCAGTCTCTACAGAGACTTGTCATCTGCGTAGGACAGGTTTATAGTATATGTGTGTTTTTTTTTATGTGGGACAACAAACAATAGTATAAGGAGTATCACAAAGAATAATAATGTATAATACCGGATGGATAATTTTACAATCAACCACATTATCCACAATGGATATAAGCGCAAGCGCATGTTCGCTCTCTATTACCTCAACAATCATGATGAAATCCGACACGGCTTTCCGAGGCACGGGAGTGAAACACCGCCAACTGACTTACTACGGACTGCTACAGAAAATTTCTTACCAGAAAAACTCATTAACTGATTTTGTCTCGACAGAGAACCGAACCCGGGACAACATGATCAGCAGTTGAAACAGAAATGAGCACAATAGTGCTATAACAACCATGCGGTGGTGGCTTAAGAATGATCATCACCCCTTTTCGTCCCGTGGGTGAGCGACTTAGAGTAATGTCAGAAAAATCAAAATCACTAAAGGCGTAATATACACAGACTAAAATGTTACTGCGATCGTCAATGCACCTGCCGAGCGTGAAGATTGAGGCAAGTCCTTCTTATAACGGGAGAGTCCTATATCTAGCTGTAGAATTGTAAGGGATTAAGACAAAGAAGATTTTACATAAGAAAATACTCTTGATCTTCAGAATTTCAAGAATATTTCGACCCTGGTTTAATTGTTTGTCTATTGCATTTCTGACCCCAGCGTGCTTCCGACTTCATCGCGTAAGTGTTACACCGAAAACTTGTAGGTCAATCTAATTATTTTGAAGGTGAGTGAGTAAATACGATTATTCAAAATACTACAAGTTAAGCCTTAGTCGAAAATCGACCAGAGGGATGTCACCAAATCATAATACTTAACGTCTTGTTTAATATTATCCTAATAGAAAATCAAGATTTAATAAGAGCAAGGACAAAACATTTTGATAAAAGCGACACGTTCGTACTTAAAGATGTGAGTAATAGACACAAGAGCAGTGTTGCCAGTGGGACAAAAGTAAATATTATAATTTCAAATTAAACATTTTGTACAGCCGACTTCAATATAAGTTATTAATAATAACTCAAAAACTATTGGTCTGACCTTGATCATTTCATATGGAACCACACGAGAAGTACCAGCTTTCAAATAAAAAAAGAATTATATAAATCGGTTCACCCAGTAAAAAGTTATGAGGTAACACACATAAAAAAACATACAGTCGAATTCAGTACCGTCTCCTTTTTGGAAGTCGGCAGAAAATATTATTGTATTATTCGTGCAGTCGTCATCTCATGAAATCAAAGTAATTATTTGACATTATAATAATAAAAAAAATGTATGACAGAACGAATTAAAGTAAATAACCGAGAACAATAATTCAACTGCAGGAAGAAAACCGAATGTAATTAAAAACTTGACGCGTCGACAAAAAAAACAAGAATTTTTAGCTTTCTTATTCAAATACATTGGAATGAACTGCTGATGCATGTGAGGTCAATATAAAAGAATGCTGTGCGAATCGGAGCACCCCTGCACTATTCAGCTCAACATTTAGAAAATGACCTCGCAGGTTTGTGCGACAGAAGTCAGCCGGGACGTGGATATCGAAATGTTAATCGTACGCACTTTTACAACGCATTAGCGTAACGGAAGAAATCCGACTATTGATGCAGTCCGAAATTTTAACCGAGCGTTTACAAAAACATTACGGATAAGTACGAAAAGAACTCGCGGTCAAAGAATACTGGTGGCATGATATGACTTCCGGTATTGATGAATAAGTTTTATAATAATAAGACCCTTTTTACTGGAAAGGAGACATTCCATATTAGTCCTCAAGGGTGACAAAGCAGCATTTTGATTCTTAATCGAGAATAAATGTAGAAGTCTATGGGCCCAAAGCATTCACAGGTGGACTGTGTGTTCGTTTGTCAACCTTATTCTTTTAAAAAAATACATGAGCTTTACATAACTCAAAACCGGTACCATTTTATTGATTGCATTGAATTAAAAGTACTAAGTATTTTACATGAATGTGTAGTGACAGCGTAAAAGAATCCACTACTTCATATCATCCCGTAGATGTAAGAAGCGACAGAGGGAAACTGAAACAAGAGATGGGCAGCAGCATCTTCCTAATAACAATATACTAGAATCTCAGTGGTTGTAACTCTAGATATTTCTGAGGTTTTGTTTTAATGTGAATCGATATGTAAATGTAGTGTTTGTAAAAATCTTAATAGATGACAAAATAAGCATTGCCCATCGTTTTTTTTTTTTATTCAAGTATTACCAATATGTTGAACATATCATCATCATCATCATTACAGCCCTTCACAAGTCCACTGCTGAACATAGGCCTCCCCCAAAGAATGCCACAAAGCACGGTTCCGAGCCACCTGCATCCATCGACTTCCTGCAAATCTTACCAGGTCGTCACTCCATCTAGTGGGGGGACGCCCTACACTTCGCCTGCCGGTACGAGGCTGCCACTCGAGAACCTTTCTTCCCCATCGGTTGTCGGTTCTTCGAGCTATATGGCCGGCCCATTGCCACTTCAGCTTACTAATCCGTTGGGCTATGTCGGTCACTCTGGTTCTACTGCGGATATCCTCATTTCTGAGTTTATCACGCAGAGAAACTCCGAGCATAGCCCTCTCCATAGCTCGCTGAGCGACCTTGAGCTTCCTCATCCGGCCAGCAGTGAAGGACCACGTCTCAGTTCCGTAAGTCATCACTGGCAACACGCACTGGGTGTACAGTCTCGTTTTCAAGTTTTGAGGTATACCTGACGAGAAGATGTGCCGTAATTTCCCGAACGCTGCCCAACCGAGTTGAATCCGTCGATTGACCTCTCGGTCGAAGTTGGACTTACCTAGTCGGACTATTTGTCCCAGGTAAACATACTCGTCAACAACTTCGAGCTTAGTGTTCCCAACAACTACCGGCATAGGTGTGACATGGACATTAAACATGATCTTTGTTTTGTCCATGTTCATCTTAAGACCTATCCGTTGGGAAACACTATTGAGGTCATTGAGCATAGTGCTTAGGTCCTCCAGCGATTCTGCCATAAGGACTATATCGTCGGCAAATCGAAGGTGAGTGATGTACTCGCCATTGATGTTGATACCGTATCCTTTCCAGTCCAGAAGCTTGAAAACATCTTCCAATGCAGCGGTGAAGAGTTTCGGGGATATGACGTCACCCTGTCTTACACCTCTCTGCAATTGGATAGGTTTCGTACTCTGGTTCTGTACTCGGATAGCCATCGTAGCCCTACTGTACAAGCACTTCAACACTTCGATATACCGACAGTCAACTTGGCATCGCTGAAGGGACTGCAGCACCGCCCAAATTTCGACGGAATCAAAGGCTTTCTCATAGTCCACATACGCCAGACATAGTGGCAAATTGTACTCCTCGGACTTCTGTACAATTTGCCGAAGGGTATGTATGTGGTCTTTGGTGCTAAAGCCTTTTCGGAAACCGGCTTGTTCGGGAGGCTGGAAGTCGTCAAGTCTGCGCGCGAGACGATTCGTAATGACTCTCGAAAACAGCACGTAGACGCGGCTCAGAAGGGAAATCGGTCTGTAGTTCTTCAAGAGAGCGTTGTCGCCTTTCTTGAAGAACAAGACCACCGCACTTCTGCTCCACGCCTCCGGTGTAATGCCACCATGGAGGACGGAATTAAAGAGCTTCTGAAGGACTTCAAGTACCGGTTTTCCACCCGCTTTCAGAAGCTCCGCTGTAATTCCATCCTGGCCTGGGGCCTTGCCGTTTTTAAGGTGCTGGAGAGCCATTCTAATCTCGCTCAGACTGACGTCCGGGATATCATCGGAATAATGTCGGATAAGACTCGCTCTTGGATCGTTACTCACACTTGCGTGTGGCTCCAACGATGACGTGTACAGCTGCCCATAGAACCTCTCAATCTCACTCAAAATCTCAGGTGCCCCGGAAACGATGCTGCCACATTCGGTCTTCAGCTTTGACAGTTGGCTCTTTCTGACAGACAGATCTCTGGCAAAGACTTTGGAGCCTTGGTTCCGCTCGATCGCTTCTTCAATACGAGCTGTATTGAAGTTACGTAAGTCCCGCCGCATGCATTTGGAGATCTGTCTGTTCAGTTGCCTGTATGCTGTCAAATCTGTTGAAGAATGTAGCTTCATCTCCCGTCTAACAGCCATGAGATTAAGAGTGTGATCGGAGAGTTTTTGTGTTCTTCTGCGGCGGGTCTTGCAGAACTTAGCTCCGACCGCATGGACAGTTTCCACGAGCTTGTCATTCAAATCGTCCACTTCATTGCAGTCTTCTAGGCACTGAAAACGGTTTTGCAACTCGAGCTGAAAGGTTTCGGGACTTTGGATTAGAGCACGAGGGGGACGGAGCGTTGACTTCATTAGACGAGACCTCTCCAACTTAACGTTTAGGTTCAGTGTGCCTCTAACCATTCGGTGATCGCTGCCGGTTTTCACTCTCGCGATCACTGAGACATCACTGAACAGTTGTCGTCTGGTCGTCATAATGAAGTCAATCTCATTTTTTGTCGAACCGTCGGGGCTCGACCAGGTCCACTTCCTGTGGGGCCGCTTCTGAAAGAAAGAGTTCATCATAAAGAGTCCCTCTTTCTCCATGAAGTCGGCCAACTGCTGGCCCCTTGGGTTCCGTTGCCCTATTCCAAATTTCCCCACTTTCAGCTCACCGTTCTCTCTTGTGCCTAGTTTTGCATTGAAGTCTCCCATTAACACCGTATATTGGGTTTTGGAGGAATGCATGGCTCTAGAGATATCCTCATACATTTCCTCCACCTCCTGATCGGGGTGTGCCGAGGTTGGTGCGTAAACCTGTATGACCTTCAGCGAATACCGTTTGGTGATTCTGAGTATAAGGTACGCAACCCTCGTCGACA